AATCATAAGGTATTCTGTAAAGAATGACTTTATTACATTGTAATAATGTCAAAAGTCTTTGAAACTGACTTTAAATCGTTTATTTTAAACCATATTCAACATTTTCCATTATGAATAAAAATTAATTCTTTTAGTGATAAAGATGAAGAAAAGATTTTTTTTTTGTTAAAATAAAACTAAGTCAAATAGTGGTTCAGGGATTGCAAGTTTGTACTTCCTGTTATATGAAAATTTGCTATAAATTTGACCAATCAAGACTGACCTTATATGCAAGTTTAGGAAGCTTCGGACTTGAAAAAGTCTTCTTGCAAAATATGTTGTCAAATTCTAAAAATAACTTGGTATTCTTTTACTATTAAACCCATTTCACCCACAACTATTATTTTTATAGAAAAAACCTTTGAGAATTTCATGGTTTTTCCTATTTTCAGTTTCTGATGAATCATAATTCTGAAGTTAACGATTGAATAAGCTAATAAGTTCTACAACAAGAAAATATCTGTAGAAATTGCCATATTGTATTGTTAAATATTTGAACTTAGCAACTTTAACAAAATATTGCAATAACACTCATAAATATGAATGCTGGTGGTTATTTTAAGAAGTAAGGGGGTACAAATGAAAAGATTTGAAATTGACAACTTTTCCATTTCACTAAAACAGTTGTTAAATATTCCTTTCCTTCCTTCCTTCCTTCCTTTCCTTCTTTCTTTTCTTTTCTTTCTTTTCTTTTCTTTCTTTTCTTTCCTTTCCTTTCTTTCTTTTCTTTCCTTTCCTTTCTTTCCTTTTTCCTTCTTTCTTTCCTTTCTTTCCTTTCCTTTCTTTCTTTCTTTTTTTTTCCTTTCCTTTCTTTCTTTCTTTTTTTCCTTTCCTTTTTCTTTCTTTTTTTTCCTTTCCTTTCTTTCTTTTTTTTCCTTTCCTTTCTTTCTTTTTTTTCCTTTCCTTTCTTTCTTTTTTTTCCTTTCCTTTCTTTCTTTTTTTCCTTTCCTTTCTTTCTTTCTTTTTTTCCTTTTTTTTCTTTCTTTTTTTTTTTTCCTTTCCTTTTCTTTTTTCTTTTTTTCTTTCCTTTCCTTTTCTTTCTTTTTTTTTTCCTTTCTTTCTTTTTTTTTCCTTTCTTTCTTTTTTTTTCCTTTCTTTCTTTTTTTTTCCTTTCTTTCTTTTTTTTTTTTTTCTTTTTTTTTTTTTTCTTTCTTTTTTTTTCCTTTCTTTTTTTTTCTTTCTTTTTTTCCTTTTTTCTTTTTTCCTTTCTTTCTTTTCTTTCTTTCTTTTTTCTTTCTTTCTTTTCTTTCTTTCTTTTTTTTTTCTTTCTTTCTTTTTTTTTTCCTTTCTTTCTTTTTTTCCTTTCCTTTCTTTCTTTTTTCTTTTTTCTTTTTTCTTTCCTTTCTTTTTCCTTTTTCTTTTTTCCTTTCTTTTTTCTTTTTTCCTTTCTTTTTTCTTTCCTTTTCTTTCTTTCTTTCCTTTTCACTGAAATCAAGTAGCATCTCTGATATGTCTTTTACATTTTTCCATGCAAACAAAAAAAAATGGAAGAGTTTATTATTTATGAGGTATTGGCAGGGTGTAATGGCTGTGCTAAATAAGGAAGAGACAAGCAGAATTATGATATGACTAGAAATTTGAAAATGACATTTTTTTTTCCATTTCACTGAAACATCCGTTAACACTTCTATCTTCCCTTCTCTTTTTCTTTCTTTCAGTTTCTCACTGAATCAAAGTAGCATCTCTTATATGTCCTTGCAGTCAAAACAGAAGAGTCCATTATTTATGAGGTATTGGCAGGATGTAACGGTTGTGTGAACTAAATAACTAACTAATGAAGGGTGGCGGGGTGCAAACAGAATTATAGTAGGATGCTCTTGAAGTAGTCAACTGAGCAATGATGGTGAAGTAATGGTGGAATTGATTATACACATATTAATCTAGGAGATGTATGTAATAGTAAAAATTTACCAATAATTTAGCAATTTATTTATTTAGTTGAGCTAGCTCGAACATTCATGAGCCTATCATGCCAACCACCATGGTCCTGCATCAAGTTCAGAAGGTCATTAGGGTGGCATTCTGTCATAACATATCTGATCAATGTAGCTGGGTGACCAACCTATCTTGCTCCTTGTCAGGAACAGTAGATCATTCACGAGTTCTTGTTTTGTTCATCAGCACTGTCTTAAAAAGTGCATTCTGATTTTGTGTAAAATTGTTGAAATATCAGGAATGGGTCCATAGATCTGTGATTTAGTTGGAGGTTGTTTTCAGGTGATGTTAAGTATAGCACTCAGCATCCTAGTGTAGATTCCATCAATAGTTTTTGTTAATGTCCAAGCAGTGTCACTATACATTAAAACTGATTCTACAGTGGGACAAAAGAACTACCTTTAATGTTGTCTGGTAGACCAGATTTCCAGATTACATCCATTTTGTTCAATGTGGGCAAGGCTTTAGCTATGCAAGTTTTCCCATCCTTTTCAGTATAATTTATTTCGCTTCCTAGGTATATGTTATGGTAATTTACCCACACACGCCTGAACTCTCTCAGCTATAAATAGGAGCAGGTACTACCTTTTAGAGAGGGAAGTTTCCAGCAGTCAACTCTGACAGCCAGAGCGAACATTCTTGCTGTAACACTATTGTTTGTATATGTTTGTATTAAAGTTTCTGTTAATATATTTGTTTAACTCAATTCCTCTCTTTGTGTCTTAATTTCTGGCCCTAACAAGGCCACAACAATATACAAAAGATTTGATAGATTTTATTGAGCCTTGCTGGTTGAAGCTTATGAATTCTGTTTTAGAGGCATTGACATAGTCCATAAATGTTGGCAGCATTTTCTAGATGATGTTAGTGATAGCTTGATCATCTGCATTAGTCAATATTGGTCAACTGTTTTGCAGGTTAACAACTTGAGAGTATTGGTCATAAAGTAAAAGAAAGATGATGTTTTAGCCACAAATTATCCTTTCCATCTTTATTTATTTTGGGACTATTGTCCTCATCTTTGTTGTTTTTATCACAACATTTTGGCCATTGTGCCCTTCGACCTTCCTTGGGTATGTATATCAATCTGGATAACATACAGGGAATTTCAAACTGAACCCTTTATTTAGTCTACTGGGGTAGACTTTTCTCGTTCCACTGCTTGTGTCTAGAGATATTGTCTAGTTCTTATTTTTATTTAGTATTGTTTAGCCATTGCTTGCCTGTTTCCACTGTCTGACCCAGGGATTGAACTCACAACCACTATATCACCAAATTCACAAACCAATGCTTTTATCTACTAGGGCCTTGCCAAATTGCTGGTGTAAAGTTAGAGCTTTAAACCTAATCTTCAGTGCTGATTAGACTGCCACCACTGCTGCTGCCTATGTTCAGATTGCTGCTGCTGCTAATATCTTATTCTATTTTGTTTGTGGTGGGTCTGATATGGCCCCTGTATGTTGCAGCTATTCAACCTATATTATTAAATCAATGGAATAGTTTTGGTTTGTTTTTTTTATGTGAAAAGAAACACAAAGATAAAAATAAATGAATTTGAATAGGAGAAAAATATTAAAAAATATACTAAAAATTTATACTTCAGAAAGAAAAATGCAGAAAATGTCTTCTTACATAAAAATGTTGTAGCAAAAATATTATCTTTATTTTTAGATGAAGTGTTGTCTCTCAATATTAATTGAATTTGTCATTTTTTTAATTTTAATTTTTAGTTGCTTTTTATTACAGTTTTAAAAAGGCTCTTAGTTTACAACAGTGAGCAAACAACACATGGGAAATAATAAAGAGAAAGTCCCCAATGAGACTTAAACTGTTATAAAAAGCAACTAATCATTGAGAAGCAAGCAAAAAAAAATGTCAATTTTTCATACATTATGATGATGAGTGTTATGATTGTGATTATATTTTGTTTTTCCAGGTTAAAGTCTGGATCATCGGAATTTTATGTAACAGAAAGGAAAAGAAAAATCTCTCAGCATTTGAATTACCTTGGAGGAAAACTTGACAAAATTGAATAAAAACAACCTAATTAATGAAAAGTTATCTAAAAGACAATGATTTGACACAATTGTCTTTGTTACAATGGGTGACCATTTCTGGATTACTGACACTGGATAAAAATTCAGTAATTAGATTGGAAAAAATGGGTGAAAAGAAATTTCACTTGGAACTGATAGTCAATCTCCAAAAGTCTGATTAAAATTTTCCGAGTCAATGACAGTAATTCAGTTTTATTTTTAAATTAAGCATTGTAAAAATCTACAGATTACACTTGTGTAATGTTAAGAGCTTAAACAAATCCAAGTGGATAAAAATTTTAATTTGTCTGCAAACCAAATGATTAGTTTATTCTTATAGATTAGTAACTGGTAATACATTTTTAGCTGATCAGATTAAAAACATAGCTATAAAAAATATATATTTATTTATTTATCTATATCAGATAGATAAAGTATCCCAGAAAATAAGTTTATACAAAATATTTTTAAAAAGAAACTCCTTGATATTTTGATTTTAATTTCTATACCTTGTGTTTCTGTCCATTCACTGTTATATATACGACTCTAAACTTTTCATACTCACTGGATATTCATTGCTTCCTAAAGTATTGTCTGCTTCTTTCATTTTTCCTACATCAGTATTTATTTGTATTTATTTAATCCTATTGCCTACAAAGTCTAAACTTAAGAAATTAGTAAGCGGATTGATTATAGTTGTTTACTAGTAAGAACATATATAACTTATATTTGCCTACTGTGTTCACATTTTATATAAAAACTTAAAAAAACAAAACTGAAACCATGGAGGAGAATGAAACTGTATTTACCCAGTATGTGGACATGCCCAAAATTACCGAATATTGTAAGAACATTAATTCTTTTAAAGCTATGCAGCCAAGTTCATCTCCTATTCGGACACCATCTTGTTCTGAAGAACAACTTCTCCTCTTGTTGAATTCTCATGACCAAAAGCCTTTAAAGCAGTTCTTGAGGACTAACCACTGGCCAATGGATCATATAATGCGACGTTCACTTTGGAGTCATCTTAGCTCTCATTTACACAAAGCCTATAGCAGCATTTATGAAGAAATGGACAAAGAATTATTTGGTGATGGTAAGTAGATACTCAAAAGGAAATAGAATTTTTAACCCTTTCAAACCCAATGCATGCTTCCAAGAAAAGACTTGTCATTCTTGGAATGTTATATTTCAAATACACTTATATTTAGATTTTAAATGTATGTTCCAAAAATGCCATGATATATCTCATAAAATTTTTTTCTATGATTGTAACATTTAGTTCTTAATATTAATGATGCAAGATGGTCAAACATTTTCTATGTGCCGTGACCCTTCAGGACATTGGCAAACATGGTTCTCCACAATTTCCTTTCCTTTGTAGCTCTTAATAAATTTTGTCATCTCTCCTAAACCCTGTTCTGCCATCCATTTACTCTAGCTCATTCTTCTTCTATGTGCTGTATCCCTTCAGAATGTTGAGGCTCATGGCTCTCCACGATTTCCTTTCCTTTGTATCTCTTAATAAATTTTGTTTCTTTTTGTTATCTCTCCTAAACCTTTACCCAAGCTCACTCGGTAGGTAGTGTTGTTTTCCTCTGTTCCTTTTGCCTTCAATATAACCTGTGAGCATAAATATAAATTTAAACGTTCATAACGTTGTAGAATAACAATAATAAACAGCACTTACCGGTGTAAAGGTCCCAGCTAGCATCCAGCTGGCAGACAAAAATAAAGCAGGTTGTAACTTAATACAAACCCTGCAAACTAACAGCTGAATCAAGCTGGTATTTATATAGAAATACCTCCACTCAGGTACCAGCAGCCAATCACAGCCCAAGTAATGGACTATCCCACTTTAGCACAATGAGATGCTCTATGGCAACATATATAGCTCTCTTTCTAAAGGTTGGATTATTGTTCACTTCGCTTGCTCCACAACTAAGTGTTTATCTCTACCACGTGATTTCTCTACAAACGTTAATTTAAAAAAGGGCTCAATACAAGAGTAGAACAATAGATATTTATTATAAACTGTTACATTGGAACATGCAAGTTACCATGACAAAAATGCATATTTGTTTTGATGTCTAATTTAGAGATCTCATCAGGTAGTTAACATTGGTGGTAATAATTGATTTTATTTAAAAACACAACTTATGAATCATCATTTCTTTTCACATATTTGAAAATTTTCCATAGAAGGTAAAGAAACAAATATATAAAAAATTTCCATAAAAGGAAAAGAAAGAAAAAGGCAGATTAAAGTAAAAAAAGAAAAAAAAGAATAAGAAATCAATAAAAGGAATAAAAAAAGGAAAGAAAAGAAAGGCATAAGAAAGTATAAGCAATCAACTCCACTACAGAGAAAAAGAAAGGAAGGAGCATATCCAAATTTTACAGATACCAGTTTAACCAATCTACAAATAAAAAATCAACTTGCTTTTATGGAGTAGTACTTCTGAAGTGATCAATTGGTTCAAGAACATTGATGACAAAAAGAATTGTACTTCCATCCAATTCAATATTGTGAATTTTTATCCCTCTATCTCTAAAGACATATCTTAAGTTACATTGGAATTTGCTAAAGTTTATTCAGACATTTTAGAGGATGAAATTAACATTATTTTGAACTGTGGAAGATCAGTCCTAATCCACGATAACGAACAGTGGAAGATCAGTCCTAATCCACGATAACGAACAGTGGATTAAAAATTCGGCTGATAATTTCAACATAACTTTGGGATCATTGGAATCTGCAGTCTTCTGATTTAGTTGGATTGTTCTTATTGTACAACCTTACAGCATATGAAGATATTGATTTAAATAGTATAGGGTTCTATAGGGCCGATGGTCTCATGGTTATAAAAATATCTATTGGAAGTAAAGTTGATAAACTTAGAAAATTAATTTATAAATTAATTTTCTAAGTTTATCAACTTTTAATTTAAATCTTGTAATAATTAATTCTAATATCAAACAAGTTGATTTCATAGATGTAACCTCTGTAATTGTAGGAATTCTGACCAATGTCTTTTATCTAACAGGTGCTTGACAGAATTCCTTGTATATAAGTGCTCTATTTTATCAATTGAAAATCCCAGGATTGTTAAAATATATATTGGTAGCACAAAGAATTCTTTTAAAATACATTTGGATAATCGTCTCTCATCTTTTGCTAATGCTGACAAATGAAATATGACTTCACTTTCTAAATATTTTTGGAAATTGAAAAAGGAAAACAAAACATCTAAAGTTAAATGGAAAATTCGCAAACAAGCCAGAATCTGTAGATCCTTGATGGAATTATGCTTCCTTTGTCTACAAGAGAAAATGCAAATAATTAAACTCTTGAATAGTGATCAATTATTAAATCAGAGATTTGAAACTACACTACAGTAAATTGCAGGCATATTAAGGAATTAACCTTACAATCTTGCTAAACTTTATAACTCAATAATTATTTCTCTTATGTTATATTACCTTTATATTAACATTTTAATGTTATCATTAGTGGTTAATTCTAGATTAAGGTATTAAATAGGTTAGTATTCGTAAATTACTCGTAGTAGGTTAGCTGTGAATTGTTTATAATTATTTTACTGGTGACGTTTGATAATAGATTTTAATTTAAAATTATTATATAAAAGTCATATAAATACTTAAAATTTATTTTGTATTCTAATTTATAATGTAAGGTTGGTATAGTTAAGTAGTTGTTTTGTTTGTATATGGTTTTTCTTCTTAAAGTGCCTTTTATTTACGTACTATGTTTAATTTTGTTTAAATATGTGATTTCATTCAAAATTCCATAAAATTTGAAATGCTACAATGTTTCTAAAATATGTTTCTATGTTGTTGCGTTATTTTCCCATCTTAACGTATCTTCATTGGCTAAACAAATATCAACAACTTGTCATGTCTTGTTTTCTTCTCTTTCCTTTTCTTTTGTATCTGTAAAATTTGGATATACTCCTCCCCTTCTTTTTTCTTTTTCTTTTCTTTTTCTTTCTTTCTGTAGCAGGGTTGATTTCTTATACTTTCTTATGCCTTTCTTTTCTTTCCTCTTTCTATTCCTTTTATTGATTTCTTATTCTCTTTTTTTCTTTTTTAAACTTTAATCTGATTTTTTCTTTTTTTGGAAATTTTTTTATATGTTTGTTTCTTTACCTTCTATGGAAAATTTTCAAAAATGTAAAAAGAAATGATATTTCATTAGTTGTGTTTTTAAATAAAATCGTTTATTATCACCAATGTTAACCACCTGATGTCTAAATTAGACATCAAAACAAATATGCATTTTTGTTGTCATAACTTGCTTGTTCCAATGTAACAGTTTGTAATATATATATATATATATAATCTTTCATATTTATAAGTCAATCATTTGTCCAAACTTTGAATATTGCTGCCACATCTGGTCTAGTGCTTCTGCTATATATTTAAAGATTCTTGAATCTGTAATATTATTGGTCCTGACCTGGCATCTTGGATTCAGTCACTTTCCCCACCACTGTAATGTAGCTTCCCTGTGCCTTTTCTATAAATACTTTCATGGTAATTGTTCTGATGAGTTTTCCTCTTTGGTACTTAGACTTTTATGAATTTAAATGCAGTCCTAGATTGGCAGCAAGATCGTATCATTATACACTTGAAATGGCTAGGCATAACTGTAAGTTCTATGCTTACAATTTCTTATATCAAATTTCTCACTTACGAAAATCTTTTTTGGGTTTTTTTCTGGCCAAGTTTCATCTTCAAAAATTTAAATATAATGTCAGGTGTTATCATGTGTCTTAATTTCTGTTCTTTTATTGTTCTCTCTCTTTTGAGTTTTTTTTTTTTTTTTTTTTTTTTCATGTTCTCTCAAAGTCTGTAGCCTCCTTGTGTCTTAGTGGCTTTATTGCCTTGCTTGGGGTGAAATGATTAAAAAAATATGAAAAAACAAGTGGACACTGAGGACAGCAGCAATAGTTTGTTTCAAGCTTAAGGTCAATTTTTTACCCATAAATATAGCATACCTTCAAACTATATTTTTGTCACATATATATATATATATATATATATATAATATATATAATATAATTATTTATTTAAAAATATGATTCCATCACTACATAAGAGTTCTCATGTTTCAAAACAAGCGCCGAAAACTTCAATATAATTATTTGAATTAATATATTAATTATATAATGAGGTACCTCCATTGATTTACTAAAAAAAATTATTATATAATAAGTGGAAAAAATGCCCCAAGCATAAAAAAAACAGTATTATCATCAGAATCTTTGTTATTATTAAGAAGAAAGACCAAAGCATTTTTTGATTATTAAATTATCTTTTTTTTATCCTTTTTAGAACCTTTCAAGATTTTGGTTAAAATTTTGTTTTCTTGCATCAAAATTAGTATAGAAAATTTTAGCATCTTTTTTGTGGTGAAATATACATTGATTTGGAAATTCTTGGAAAAATCAAATAATTGTTGGATTTTAATGAAACATCCAAGACTTATTCACAAATGAACTAATTTATATTTGAAATGTTTCTTTTTTTATTTTCTTTTTACATCTGCCACCCCATACCCCCCACTTAGTTAATTTTAGGATATTTTGAGAAATTAAATTTTGTAGCACTTAATATATATGCAGACGTCCTTGGAGAATTTAAATTCTCAAATTCTTCTTGTAAAGCAGAACCCCCAGTTACCAAAAAAATCTGCTTTGAATTGTAAAATAAATGCAATTAAAAAAGATTTTAATTTTATGAATAAGATATATTATGGACACTATTGTCTTAAGAAAAAAAGTTTCAGTGAATAAAGAATTTTTACAAGAATTGTTTTAATTTAAAAATAAATTTAATTATAATAATTAATAAAGTTGTAAATCCTTTAAAATTCTGTATTATTTTATAGTGGTTAGCTAATATTGTTTTTAAGTAAAAACTATATTCACTAATCATAAATGGAAAAGCTTAGTATAATTTCTCAACCTCCAATATTTTAAAAAGAATTTTTGAATTTTTTTAATGGGTAAAAGCAGGGTGATTTTTGTAAATACAGATATCCATACATGACATTACCAGAAAACAAACATA